TTTTTTACATGGATGCATGAGAAATAAAGAATAAATAAAACGAGTAAACCTCAAAGTCAACTCAAGTCAAAATTACACAAAATTCGATAAAAATGAATAGAACTAAGGTTAATCTTCAAAGTTCAAAGTCTAAGTGAAATTAATGTGGTTTAAAATTAAATTTGGTGATTTTTGAAATACTAAAAATTTTTATTGCACTGAAAAATATATAAAATTACCAAAATACCCTTATAAAGGATATTTTCATAATTGACCTTTCCGAACTCAAATTTTTATGAAAAATTTTTAGATCTTAATTTCATAAAATTTCATTACTTTTAGTGCATTTGAAATCATAGCGTACCCTAGGAAGTGTGAAATTATCAAAATACTTCTATAAAGGGTATTTTTATAATTTGATCTTCTCGAGCTCAAATTTTTATAAAATTTTTTAGATTTTAATTTTATAATATTTCATGATTTTTAGTGCATTTGAAATCATAACAGTACCCCCAAGAATGCTAAATTACCAAAATACCCCCAAAAGATATTTTCATAATTTGATCTTTTCGTGCTCGAATTTTTATGAAACTTTTCAGATCTCAATTTTATAATATTTCATGATTTTTGATGGTTTAAAATTCCAAAAATGAGCATGAGAACATTGATTTCTAAAAAAATGACCTAAGTATTAAAAATTTTGTACTATGAGTAAAATGATCTTTTCATATGTTTGGAGGGCATAAAAATCTAAACTTTATAGTGAATAATGTGAACCATTGGATCTTTTATTAATCTTGATATAATGGTGAAAGATGGTTCCTTAAAAAGAATAAAAGATAAGCTTTGACCCTCGGATGAAATCTCATCCGAGGGTCTATATTAATTAAAAATTAAATCTTTTTTTAGGAGCTAACTATTAAAAGGGGTTGAGTGGTTTGGTTAAAGAAAAAGCTATAAGAAAAAGGTTGGAAGGCTGGAAAGGTGGAAAAAGAAAAAGTCAAACACGTAAAAAATGAGAGGGAAGGAAATTGTTGAAAAAAATATAAAGGCTAGCCAAAAAAGTAGAAGAAGGAGAAAGGAAAAGAAAAAATGAAAGGAAGAGTCTACTAATTGTGGAGTTTGGTCAAAGTTTGGAAGGCTGAAAAGGTGGAAAAAAAAAGCCAAACACGTAAAAAAAATAAGAGAAGAAAGTTACTAAAAAAAAAGAAAAAAGTCAAATATGAGAGGTGAAGGAGAAAGAGAAAAGAGAAATAAAAGGAAAAGAGCTACCAAAAAAATGGGTTGAAGGAGAATCTACCAAAGGAAGAAAGAAGAGGAAGTTGCCAAAAAGAATAGGGAGAAAGTTATCAAAAAAGAAAGAGAGAAAGTAAGCCAAGGTAGAAAAGGTTTCAAGTTGACTATCTTTGTTCTTTCATGCGACATGATTCAATTTTTTTTTTTTGGTTATTTTTAGCTATTATAGTATTTTTATTTATATAGTTTAGTGTTGACTAAATTGGCTTTCTTTTTCTTTACATGCCATTTGCATATTTGGCTTGACTTCATGGAAGTTGTGGTCAATATATTTTCAAGTTAATTTGTTTGATGCTATGTTATACTTGGTTATTGATTTTTTAGATATTCATTAAATCTATTGGTCTTTATGGTGTGATGAATACTTATGGGAAGGCTAGAATTTCTTTTTCTATTTTGGTTTTTTCACTTGTTAATAGTATTGTTTTACCTAGCTCAAAATCTTGTCTTATTCTTCTTTTTGGATTGTTTACAACTTTACAAAGTTTTGAAAAGATGCTGAAATTTTTACAATAAGGCTTATTTTTATGTAGGTTTTATATCATCGTTTATATTTCTCTAATGTTGTTACAAATATGATTATGATTTAAATCCCATGCATTTTCCTTTCATTGTTAGTTTAGTTAAATTTCAATTTTCACTTTGATTTTTATGCAATTTAGTTTTTGCACCTTAATTTTTTTAAATGCAAATTTGTTCTTCATTTATTAATAATAAATTGAATGAAATTTTTGAGGATGATATTTTAAAGAAATTCGAGTAGTGATTCTCTAAAATGTCTAAGTGATGATATTTTTCTAAAAGTATTACAAAGTGATGGAGTATTTACGAAAATACTCAATACAAAAAGTTTCATTTTTCTATTTTTTTAAAGTTTTGATAGTTGTCAATAATAATGTATAATGACTCTTTTTTAATAATGAAATTGATATAATTAAAGTTTAAAAATTACAATAAAAAATATAATTAATTAAGTAAGAAAAGACAAAGTAGATAAGAAATCCCTAAGTGAGAAAATTTTTCTAAAATATCACCAAAATATCAGGGTATCTAGGAAAAGTTTCAATAAAAATTTTATTTGTTTTGTTTCTTTCAAATTTTTAGTGATATTGTGAAAGTGATTAAATATGATTAAAACATTATAAGTGTTATATTTTTTGTATGCATATTCTACTTTATTGTCTGCATTACATTGTTTTAAATGCAAATAAAAATTTTCGATGATAAAACTTCAAAAAGTCTGAATAGTGATTCCCGAAAATTTTCTAGGTAAGAAAAAGTCTTCTAAAAATTATTGAAGTATTAGAATATTTAAAAGCCTCTTTTCAATATGAAAGATTTTCATTTTATCATTATTCTCAATTTGAATAATTTTATATGAAAATATATACTTTTGAAAATGAATTTGTTTATAAATGATAATATTAATAATGAAATTAAGTAAATAAAATTTTTGATGATAGGACTCCGGAAATCCGAGTAGTGATTCCCGAGAGTTTCTTAGGTAAGAAAAGTCTTTTAAAAATTGTCAAAGTATTGAAATATGTTGAAGTTTCTTTTCAATACAAAAAATTTTATTTTCTTAATTATTTTCTTTTATTTGAACAATTTTTTTAATAAATAAGAATGTTTTTTTTTGAAATAAATGTATTTGTAGATAATTATATTATTACATGACTTTTAATAATTAAAAAAAATGAAAAATCTCCAAAGATGAAATTAAAAAAAAAATTAAGTAGTGATTCTTTAAGTTTCTTTAGGTAAGAAAATCTATCTAAAATACCGTCAATGTATTGAAGTATTTTGATTAATTTTCGATAAAAATTTCTCGTTTTTTTTTATAAATGGCATAAAAATGAGTTTTTTTTAAATGCTATTTGTTTTTAAAATTATAGATATCATATTTTATGAAAATAAGTACGAATCACCGATGATAGGATTTTTGAATTTCGAGTAGCGATTTTTAAAAATTTCTTAAGTTATATAGTTCCTTTTAATATTGTTAGAGTATTTGAATATTTTTAAGAATTTTTCAATATAAGGTTCTTAATTATTTTTCTAGCTTACTAAAAAAAAAAATATGTTTTTGAAGAAAATTAAAGAAATTAAATTTCAAATATCAAAATTAAGACCATTTTAGTTATTATTAAAAAATAACAAATAATTAATTGGTATAATTTTAAACGTGCGCTATGAGGATGTTAATAATTTTTTATACGTAATCAACTCCCGAACTCAAATAATTTTTCGCAGACAAAAAAATTATGTTTTTAATAAATTTTAATTAATTTTAAAATTTTATTAAAAAGATAAGTTTTAATAGATAATCAATCACACTTAACCAAAAAAGATTGGTGACCACTCCATCTTTATTTTCAAATTCATTTAGCGATTCTCAAAATCATTACGACATAATCATATAAACATAATTTCCTTTTTTTTTTTATAAAGAGATGGACTAAAAATTATAAGTATTAAAATTTAAATTACAGATTAATTAAATGCCACCTAATTGCTACATAAAATAATTGAACTAAACTCTATACAAACAATAATTTTTAACTCTACTAGCATAATACCTACATGTTGTCGCAAAGTTAAAAATTTTTTTTTTGCCATATTTATTTATCAATTTTTATTACAAAATATATTTAATTAAAAAAAAGATGAAAGACAAAAAAGCCAAATAGGTGTGACATGTAGATATCTTAATTGATTTTTTTCTTATAAATTTCATCTAATTAGAAAAATAAAGGCAAAAAAAAGAAATTGGAAAAATAAAAAAAGTCAAAATAAAGAAAAAAGAAAACAAAAAAAAACAAAATACTTATAAAGAGTGACGCCTGTATATCCCGTTAAGTTTAAAATATTAATTTTATCAATTAAAACATCAAATAATAATTTTATTAATATGATGTATATATAAAATAAAATTATTAATAAAATATATATTTATATATATCTAGAATGAGTCAAGAGAAATTATTTTAAATACGTTTTCATTCTGATCTTATTTTTTTAAAAAGATTTTGACTATCTTAATTCAATTTCAACTTAAAAAAATGCCCATATTAGATTAGAATTGATCAAAATTGATTGAATTAAAATTATTTTGATATTCTTATCAATTGGTACATTTGTTGTAAAATTTATTTAATAAAAAATGTGAAAAAAAAGAAAAAAAGAATGCTACGGAAACATTTCCATTGATTTTTTTCATAAAATTAATTTAATTATAAAAGCATTAAAAAAAGAAAAGAAAATTAAAAAAATAAATACGTGATATACCATTTTATCAAGTGGGTAAAAAAATAAAATTAAAAAAAATTTTATTAAATATTTTTTAAAGAAAAAAGTAAAAAAATAAAAAGTAAATCATAAAGAAAACTTTGTTATAAATAAAAAATAAAATCTTTAAAAAAATATATTTTTGTTTGTAATTTTAAAAATTACTAATTGCTTTTAAAAAGTAAAAAATGTAAAAAATAAAATACAAAAACATATTATAAGTAGATTTCATGCATAAAAATATTTTTTTATAAATGTAAAAAATATTTATTAAATACTTAAAAATTAAAAAAATTAAAAAAAAGTCCAAAAAAGGAAAATATGAAAGTGTCACGTCGCAGTCCAAGGGATCAAGTCAGCACTGTAAAAAAGACATGAGTAAAATTTATCTTGCACATGGATGGCTGCGAGCGATAAATATTTGTCGGATGTAAAAAAATTTGGCCCATAAAAGGCTACCTTCCTGTCGGCTTATTAGTTTCCCGCCATTCCTAGACTCTCTCACTCTCGGAAATTAGGGTTTATCCAATTCCATGAGCTATTGATCTGATCCAATCCTATCATCTGCTAGGATTTTAATTGGTTTTTAAATTTTCCTAAATTCCCCTTGCCTAAAATCACGGTTATAATTGCAACTGACTGTTCAATTTGTTGTTTCTTGTTTTTCCAATGGAGGAACCTCGCGTCAAACGCCCCAAAATTTCAAGGTCTATACACTCTCACAACTTTTCTCTTCTCTCTTTTTTTTTTTTTTTGCTTTTTTGCTTTTAATGTTGATTAGTTGGTTTATTCTCACGGGGGTCGAAAATTAGGGTTTTTTAAGAAAAAGTTTTCCTTTATCCTTTCTTTTGAGCGATTTTCAATGTCACGATTTGTTACCGAAAAAGCACGGGACAATGTGGGGGGAAACGGACGATTGGGTTGAGAGAAAAATCAAGACTTTCACTTTGAATTTTGGTTTGTTGGTGATAAGAGGAGATACAGTTAAATATTTTTGGATTTTTCACCTTTTTTTGCTCTGTTTGTTTCCTTAGAAAATGTGGGTGGGTCGGGGGGGGGGTGAAGACGGGCAATTGCGAGAAAAAAAGGACCTGGAAATTTTTTGTTTCATTAATATATTTTTCATTATCATATTTTTGAGCAATCATGTAATAGGCTGAATGGATTTTTACTTTTTTTTTTTCTTTCAGGGGTAAAGATGACTATCTGCCTGGAAATATCACTGAGATTGAGCTCTATAATTTCATGACCTTCAATCACTTGGTTTGCAAACCTGGACCACGATTAAACCTTGTCATAGGGCCAAACGGTTCCGGTAAGAGTTCTCTTGTATGTGCCATCGCACTTTGTCTCGGCGGTGAACCTCAGGTTGGTATTTGGTTGATTCTATAGCTTGTATTTTGTAGACGGTATAAGACTGACGGTGTTTGATTTTGTGCAGCTGCTCGGGAGGGCCACAAATATTGGAGCATATGTTAAGCGTGGGGAAGAGTCGGGGTATATTAAGATTACCTTGAGGGGGTACACGAAGGAGGAGCAGATCCCCATTGTCCGTAAAATAGATACACGGAACAAGTCGGAGTGGTTGTACAATGGTTAGATTTTAAATTCTCGATATGGCAATCATTCTCCATTACAATAGTTTTGGTCAATCATGGAATATTTTATTTATCATGGTTACATTTGATTGAAATCGTGGGGCTGTACAGTCAACTCTAGGAGCTACTTGTGCATACCTCTTGTTTCTCGTAAATGAGAATTTTGCATAGCATGGAATTTTCTGTCCACTTTTTGTAGGTTGGCCTGTGACTAACATGATTTTTTTAGTTAAATTTTGTGGTTAGTAATTTTTTGTTACCTTGCATTTAACGTGTTCCAGGTGATTTTCTCCAGGGCTTTCCTGTCATCTTGTGTACATATTTTTCGTCTACTGTTTTACTTTGTGTGTGTCCCAGTTTTTTTATAGATTAGTTGCTTGGAAATCTCTTTTCCTCTATATATGGAAAGAAGTTACCTACCGGTGTTACAGGATTGATTTAGCATTCTGCTTATTAGAAAGAAGGAAAAATTGAGAAAAAAAAGTGTAATATGGTTTTACTTGTTGATTTCAGGCAAATCTGTTCCCAAAAGAGAGATATTAGAAGTTATTCGAAAATTCAACATACAAGTCAACAATTTGACCCAAGTGAGTTCCTATAGTTTGTGAAGTAAATGCGTTATCTTTCTTGACTCACATAACTGAATTTGCATATCAGGTGCTTGTGTGTGGCATATCATTTTATTTGGTGATTTTGAGCGTATAGTCAACCGAGCTTGTTTTATCTGTACTTGCTTGCCTAATAGTTTCATATCAAATTTGCCTGTTATATACTTTTCACTTGGGAAAGACAAGCTTATGTGTAATTCAATATTTTTGGGAGATGTTCACTGTAAATATCTTTAGTTGCTCTTGTCCACTGTTATCAAGGTGCGTGCCTAGGTGCTAAGGTATAAATAAAGCAAACTGCTTCACAGCCCTTTGGATGAGGTGCTTTTAATCAACTGGCTGCCTTTTGAGGCAAAAGGTGTGTAAAAAGCGCACCTGGCTTAAGTATCCCTTCCGTTTCTTTGGTTATTGATTTATTTTATCAGCTATTTTCTTATAGGTCAAGAAATGGAAAACGTAAACACTCTTTACAAGAATAAAATATTGGGTAAAATAGTTTGTTGGCAATTTTTTGTTGAAAGATTGAAGTGAAGGAAACATTGGGCCTTAACAGATAATGAATTTAGTTAATTCTGATGATTCTTGATTTTGGAAGACATTATGCAATCTAATGAAGACAGCTCTTAAATGTTTGTTGACAAAATTATATGTTTGAAGCATATTAAAGATAATCCACAAAATTTTCTAGCCAACTGTGTTTCTTCTTTTCATTGTTTTTTTGTTTGTCCAGTGTTTTTAGTTTTAAAATATTGGCAGGATGCAACACTGATCTTTTTGTCATGGGAAGAAAAAATCTGGAAATGGACCGGTGATAGTTATGATTTTTGTTTTTAATTTTAACTAATATTTTCCTTTGTTTACTTTTTAAAATGATATCTTAAAATATTTACTTTTTAAAATGATATCTTAAAATATTGTAAAGTGTCAAACTTAACATGGTTGGTTTATTGATTCAGTAGTTTGATAAAAGCTTTACAGAGTGTTTTCTATAGGAAAACCGTAGAAGAATTCAGGGAAAAAATGGGCTCTCTTAGAATCTGCCTTTTGCAAGATTTGCCAACGAATCCTAGGCTTTTGATGTCTATACAGGAGGAAGAATATGGTCGTATGGATATTGCAATATTGTTTCTCTGCTTGAGGTTGCTCCAGAAGCAAAAAAAAAGTTGCTGAACATAGAGCCAAATGAAAGACCTATAGGTTGGAATAGATCATTATCTCATGCAGGTTCTACCTGCATAGAATCTTTAAAAGAGTGTCCCATTGTGTTCCTAACTTTCAGCTTTTTTGGCATCAAGTGAATTGAGCCATGGACTTAATATCCAAGCTAGAGAGGTTCAGCTTTGCACTTTATACATTTGTTTACCATCAGGCTTTAATGAACAGCAGCCTCTATAACATTTAAAATATGAAATGATCAGCGCTCAGTCTTAAACCAAAATATATAGTCATTAAGACTTTGATGTCCATTCTGTCTGCTTTGGTTTATTATCATGCTTTTTAGTGGATGCAGTATGGTTGTGATTTACATTATGTCTTTCTCCTCTCTCTCTCTCTGTGTCCCTTTTTGCCCTCCCTTGTTTTTTTCCTACCATATCATATTTGTAGTGGATATTAGTGGATGCCAAAATAAGGTTTTTTATTGAAATTTTAGAAATAGGTAAGATCAATGGATATTGGTATTTCTAACTAGTTTGGGATATACACTTGGCTGCATACAGGTTTATATTTCCTTCTCTAATCTTGTACTTTGGTTATTGATATCTGGATTTTGAAGTTTTAGTTTTGTCTTGGATGGGATGTAATTAGTATTTTTGTTCTGCAATTGCAAGTACCTGTTTTTTTCTTCTTTTCTTTCTCCTTACATTATTTTCTTTAGCATTCAATCTCTTTATGTTACTCTTTTTCTTTTTTTTTTTTGGGGGGGGGGTTGTTGGTGGTGATGTGGTTCTTTTCTGGCATAGTTCTTACCACAAGACAGGGTCTGTGAGTTTGCCAAATTAACTCCCATCCAGCTCCTGGAAGAGACTGAAAAAGCTGTTGGTGATCCTCAACTTCCAGTACAACATTGTGCTCTTGTTGAAAAAAGCCGTGAACTAAAAAGATATCAAAAAGTGAGTTCAAACTGTTATTTTTCTGATGACATTGATTTTATAAAGCAATGTGTTTGAACTTCAGCCAATTTATTATAGGCTGCAGAAACTATGGGAGAAAGTTTGAAACAGCTGATAACCCTTAATGCTGAGCAAGAAAAAGATGTTGAGCGTGTTCGCCAAAGAGACGAACTTCTAGAAAAGGTTTGCAAGTTGTCTTATTTATAATTACCTTAGGTACTCCATAACATACTCATGCCTTTCTTTTGGTAAATTTTAGGTTGATTCTATGAAAAAGAAATTGCCTTGGCTGAAGTATGATATGAAGAAGACTGAATACTTGGAAGCCCAAAAGAGGGAAAAAGATGCCAAGAAGAAGTTGGATGAAGCTGCAAAGAAGCTGAATGTACTCAAGGCACCCATTGAGTATGATAATTTGGTTCTTCTGATTGTATTAATAACTTATGTATTATTTGTCCTCCTATGCAAAATATATTGCTTGATAAGTGATACAACTTTTGCTGTGGATTGCTGTTCACTTCCATTTATACACATTGTACATTTAACTGAAGCTGCATTTCAGCCTTAAAATTTATAAGTTTCCGTTTCAATTATTTTCCTTCTGTTAGAATGTCAATCTGATGTTTTTATGAAGAATGGTGATCAATAAATCAACTAAATGATCACAGTTTTGTTTTGTTAATCGACATTCTTTATAAAATTATAGCTAAATACTTTGAATCTTGATCCTGAAGATTTTCATTTGTCTGCTTGCTTGGTTTTTGTCCTTCCTTTGTGCATCTTGTTTATTGCTATATTTCCTCTAATTATAGTGAAAATATTTAATCAGTAAATTAATGGTTGCAGAAAACAAAAGCAGGAGAAAGTGAAGCTGGATGATAAATGTAAACACATTAGCAATCTCATGAATGAAAATATTAAGAAACGGATCAATCTTCTACAAAAAGAGAATGAGGCGGTGTGTTGAACTCGTTATATCTTTTGCTGTTAGCTTTTTATATGTAGTCACATGAATGGTTGAATCATTTATGTTGATTTAATGAGTCAATTACACACTTTTAGGCAGTCCAAGCGCGAGGTAAATATAAGGAAGTGGAAGATTTGAGGAGAGAAGAAGACTCTCGCAAACAAAGTATTTTAGAGGCTAAAAAGAAACTTGCTGCTGCTGAAGAGGATCTTCAGAACCTGCCTACATATGAGCCTCCTAAGGAGGAAATTGTAAGTCATATTTATTGGCGTTTATTATTATTATTATTATTACTTCTTTGCAATCCTTGAGGTAGCTTGGTACTGCATAAAATGGTTGTAAACATTGATTAATACATAAAGACTTATATTTATCTGTTTTTGAAAGATATTCCCAAAGTATAAATCTCCTATTATAAGCACAAAATTCGAGTGATATAGTTGGTTTTTGCATGATTTTATCTTTTGCCTTCAATAGTTGATTATTTTTTGTCTTTTTGTGATGATTGATAATATAGTGAATGCATGCATAGTAAAATGAAGAATAAATGATACATGCATAGTAAAATGAAGAATAAATGGTGCATGCATAGTAAAATGAAGAATAAATGGTTATCTACTTTTGGTTATTGGGGAAACATTTCATCCAAATTGGTAAGATGAACTAATTTTTCTTTTTGTGACATAGGGAGTATTAATTTATTATGTTATAGAACTGAGATTATAATTAGAAGACATTATCCATGTGTATTGGCTTAGAAGAATTCTGTAGGATAATTTAGCATAATGTTTTTCTTTGGTCAAAATATTTTACTGATGTTCATTTGCTGTATATTTTTGGCAATTTTGACATCTTGCCCTCTGATGTTGAGCAAACTTCTTTTTGCCAGGAGAGATTAAAAAGTCAAATTGTGGAGTTAACTTCTTCTGCTCATCAAAAGATGCAGCAGAAGAAGGAGAAGGAAAATTCTCTAGGCCAAATGAAAACAGCCCTGAGGAACTGTGTTGATAGGTAATGTTTAAACGGTCAAAGTTCTGTTTATATGCTTTTGAAAATATTTGAATCTTTTGTTGATTTCTTTGATATTTCCAATTTTTGCAGTTTGAAAGATATGGAGAATACAAACAACAAACTTCTACATGCTTTACAGAAATCTGGTGCAGAAAAGATAGTTGATGCTTATCGGTGGTTGGAACAGCATCGTGATGAATTGAACAAGGACGTTTATGGCCCTGTTTTGCTTGAGGTACGTGTTTCATAGTTCAGATTATTGTCTTTGTTACTAATAATACAGCTGTTTTTGTTTACTGTGTAAATGCAAAACTTAGGTGAATGTGTCAAATAAGGTCCATGCTAACTTCTTGGAAGGTCATGTTTCTCACTACATTTGGAGGGTATGCTCTAACATTGTTCTTTTCTTTTCCTCCTTTTTTTTGGTAATATTTCTTATATATAACAATAACAAGTAGAGGTTACAAAATTGCATGCTGTTCATTGTGAGTTTATTTATGTCCAAGTAGAGGCTAAGAGTCCTAGTTGCTTCTTTTGCTTTTAACATATTCTTAGTTTGTATGAGGTTTATTAATGCTGCACAGAGCAATTGGTTTTTTTCACTCTCCAGAGTCCTTAGTTATGCAAGGAAGTTGACAAGAAAATGATGGGTAAAAGACCTGGTAGGAATAGTCGAGATCTTCTGCATTAAAATTTTGACTAATTTAAAACAAAGAAGCTTAAGAAATAGAGTGCAGTGTGTGGGAAAACACTTATTTACAGCTGGTTGTAATTTGTATATTTATATTTGTATCTCTAGAATTAAGTATTTGTATCCCTAAAATTAAGGACAAAAAATTAGGATAGACAATCCCTCAATTATAGGATCAGTTTTAGGAAGATTTAGTTTTCTTAGTTTACCCACTAGTTAGTTGTATAGAAACTTAAAGTGCTTGTATAATTCTTCATGAGCAGTTTTTTAATATACATTTAGTGTTACTCTTAAGTTTTTCACACAGTGTTATTTCTTAGTTTTTTCACATGGTATCAGAGCTTCAGACTTTTCTTGGGAAGAAAATTTTTTCAGCCTTCATTGTTAAATTCTATTTCAGGCCTTCATAGCCAAATCTTGTTAAATCATTCAGTCTTATTTTTTCTTTCTTTGGCCTTCATTGCCTAGAAACGTCTTTGGTGAAACCTTTATTATCAAGATTTGTTTCAGTCCTGAGAAAGATAACCATGCCAGAGATAGCAGAATCTGTCACTACTACTTGATTTGAAGAAGTGAAATTGGTAAAATCACCGGAGTACTACAAAAGTCTTGGGAACAAAGAGAGTTAGACAAAGAAGAGATTGAGAAACTAAGAAGCCTATTGAATACTCTTGAAAAGCTTACTGGGGTATGTTATTTGGGTAAGGTCTCTAGTTCAGGTAAAACTTCTAGTTCTCATGAATTAAATGTCTCGGTTAAATCTATTATGAGTTCTTGGGTCATTGACTCAGGAGCTATAGACCATATGACACATTTCTCACAGAAGTTTAGTACATATACCATAAGAAAATTGTTGTTGCAGATGGTTCACTCACTATAGTGATAGGATTAGGAGATGTTCAAATTAATCTATCGTTTGTTCTTAAAAATGTTTTTCATGTTCCTAGATTGTCTACTAATATGATATTTATACAAAAACTTACTAGAGACATGAATTGCAAAGTGACTTTTTACCCCTCATATTGTGAATTTTAGAATCAGAGTTCGGGAAAGAGGATTGGACTTGCTAAGGAGAAGGATGGACTATACTATCTTGAGACATCAAACAACATAAATAATATCAAAAATAGTTTACCTTTGTCATTTCTTTTTGAAAAATCTACTAATAAAGACAAAATCTGGCTTTATCATTTTCATCTTGGACATCTTTCTTTAGGAACTTTGAAAAACATGTTTCCTTCTTATTCATAGGATTAAATGTCAAAAATTGTGATGTTTGTGAACTTGCAAAGCATAGACGTGTGTCTTTTCTATTTAGCAATAAAGAAGTTCTACTCTTTTTATTTGATTTATAGTGACATATGGGGTCCCTTTACAATTACTAATATTTCTGATGTAAGGTGGTTTGTTTCTTTCATAGATGATTGTATCGGAGTTTCTTGGATATTTTTACTTAAATCCAAATCAGATGTGAATAATGTGTTTTTAAGCTTCCAAAACATGATTCAGAATCAATTTGCAGTGAAAATCAAGAGATTTAGGTCTGATGACGCAAGAGATTATTTTAACCAGAGTTTATTTACTTATTTTCGAAAGGAGGGGATTGTCCATGAGTCATCTTATGTTAATACTTCATAGTAAAATGGAGTGGTAGAGAGGAAAAATAGTCATTTACTAGCCACAATCCGAGCTTTACTTTTTCAAGCAAACGTACCCAAATCCTATTGGGGGAAGTTGTTCTCACTGCTACACATATTATATATAGGTTACCTTCAAGGGTTTTGGGATTTAAAACTCTTATGGAACTAATTTCATAATTTTATACAAACTTTAATACCACAAACAATCTCACCTCTAGGATATTTGGTTGTACATCATTTGTTCATGTTTACAGTCATAATAGGGGGAAGTCGGATCCTAGAGCAATTAAGTGCATTTTTGTAGGTTATTCATCAACTCAAATAGGGTATAAGTGCTATCATCTTCTTACCAAAAAATTATGTGTTTGCATATGTCACTTTGGAAGAAAGTAAACCATTTTTTACTCTTATCTTCGGGGGGAGACTTCATTCATGGAAATAAGGATAAAGATTTCTTTTTGCTTGATTTGTCCTCCTCTTTAACTTTTTCACTCATTAATTTTTTTGAGTCAAAACTTGTTTCTTTTGAATCCAAGTTAAATACTGAATTTGAGTCTAAACCCATTCCAAACACAAAAGATGTGACAAAGGATATTATTGTTTTTGATTCTATGAAGAAATTACAGGTGCACTTAAGAAGGAAAGTTCTAGATCATGAACCAATGCAAGTCCAAGAACCTGATCTTAACTTTGGAAATGAGATAACTATAGTCTTTTGACTTTGTTTCTCAAAGTAAGTATGAATATCCTACAACTATAACTAGTGATTATGAGTTGCCTATTGCCATTAGGAAAGTAACCAGAGAATGTACTAAGCATCCACTATACCCAATTTTGTGTCATTTAAAATATTCTCACCATCCCACAAAAATTTTCTTGTGAGCCTAAACACTGTCTATTCCAACTACATTATTTGAGGCATTATCCAGTGAAAAATGGAGACAAGCCATGAAAATAGAAATGGAGGCCTTAAGACAAATAAGACATGGGAACTGGTAGAGTTGCCTGAAGGAAAAAATTTAGTTGGGTGTAAATGGGTTTTCACTATAAAATACAAGAGCGATGGTACTGTTGAAAGGTATAAAGCCAGGTTGGTGGCTAAGGCTACACTTAAACTTATGGAGTGGTTATTAGGAAACTTTTGCTCTAGTTTCCAAGATGAATATAGTTAGGATTTTTGTTATCATTAGTTGCAAATTACAATTGGCAACTTCAATAATTTGATGTAAAGAATACTTTTTTACATGGTGATTTGAAAGAAGAAATATATATGAAGGTTCCACTGGGATTTGGAGGTCATCTAGAAGCAAAGTATGCAAGCTAAAAAAGGCTTTATATGGGCTTAAATAGTCTTCTAGGGCTTGGTTTGGGAGATTTGCCAAAGTGATGCTAGCAATGGGGTATAAGTAGAGTCAAGGAGATCATATATTGTTTATCAAGCAGTCTGATTTAGGGAGAGTCACAGTTCTATTAGTGTTTGTTGATGATATAATTGTAATCGGAGATGATGAAAAAGAGAGAAAATCTTTAAAACGGTATTTGGCTAAAGAATTTGAGATAAAAGAGCTAGGGAGATTGAAATACATCCTAGGAATTGAAGTAGCTCACTCATGGCATGATATTTTCATCTCACAACAGAAATATATGATGGATCTTTTAAAGGAAACTGGGAAGCTCGTATGTAAACCTATAAATACTCCTATAGATCTTAATCATAAACTTAGAAAAGCTGATGAAGATGCTGCTGTAGATAGAGAGATGTACTAGAGATTAGTTGAAACTCATTTATCTCTCACATATTAGACCTGATATAGCATATACTGTGAGTGTCATGAGTCAATTTATGCATAGTCCTAAAGAAGTGTACCTACAGGCTGTCTACCATGTATTGCACTATTTGAAAGCCAATCTTAGGAGAGGTATCTTATGCAAAAGAAATTTGGGACTGGTTCTAGAGGCATATATAGATGCTGATTATACAGGTTCAGTAACTGATAGAAAATTCACCTCAAGTTATTGCACTTTTCTAGTCGGTAATCTTGTGACTTGGGGGAGTAAAAAACAAAATGTGATGGCAAGATCAAGTGCTGAAGTAGAGTTCAGAGCAATGACTTATGGAATTTGTGAACTACTATGATTAAAGATTATCCTAGAAGACTTGAAGATCAAGTGGGATGGACCAATGAGACTCTATTGTGATAACAAGTTTACAATAAGCATTGCACATAATCCTGTGCAATATGACAAAACAAAACACATCGAAGTAAACCGACATTTCATAAAGGAGAAACTAGATAGTGGGTTGATTTGTATATCGTATGTATCAACTAAGGGTCAACTTATAGATGTGTTGACTAAAGGTCTCAGCAGTGCAACATTTGAAGAAATTATTTTCAAGCTGGGAATGGAAAACACCTATTCACCAGCTTAAGGGGGAGTGTGGGAAAACACTTATTTGTAGTTAGTAGTAATCTTGTAATCTATATATTTATATTTGTATCTCTAGAATTAAGTGTCTGTATCTCTAAAATTGAGGATAAAAAATTAGGATAGACAATCCTTCAATTATAGGATCAGTTTTAGGAGGATTTAGTTTCCTAGTTTACCCACTAGTTATTTGTATATAAACCTAAGGTGCTTGTATAATTCTTTATGAGTAGTTTTTCAATATACATTCAGTTTTACTCTTAAGTTTTCCATATTGTTTTTTTTTTAGTTTTTCCACACAATGTGCATTCATGGCCCCAAAAACATACTATATTTTCATGAATGCAAAGGGTTGCATATTGATGCTTTCTTCTGAAGCTTTCCTTGATGGCCAAAATGCATTATGTAGGGCAGTAAATGATTGAGCCAAAACAAGTTGCCTTGTTGAGGCTCAGCTTGGCTAAATTTAAATAAGTCAAATCCAACTCAAGTAGAGCTTAAAAAAGTTTTGAACTTGGCTCAGCTTAGTAATGGGAGCTCTAAGCCAAACATGAGCCCATACCAAGCTCTTGGCTTAAGCCAAAACAATGGCTTGAAGCTCATAATATAAAGGATTAAAAGTCCAACTGTAGCTCACCAGTGGTAAGCCAGATATCATGGGCCAAAATGGCCCTTGACTTAATATTGCGTGGTCCTGCATGTGTGGTAGCCCTTCAAACTTTGGCTTATTTATAGATGCAGCCTCCCCCTTCGACTTGTTTCAACTCGTGATGTGGGATTGTCAGGGGAGAGAACTTTTCTTTCTTTTCACTGTCTTAAAACTTACAATGCCTCCATTTTTAAGCACATAACAAATTTATCCTGCAATGATATTTTTTTTAAAAAATAATGGATGATTATTAATCATGTTATGTCTATTTTAAAATAATATAAATATTAAATCATGATTTGAATTGTGAAATATATTAATGCTTAAAGAGTCAACTTGATAAGAATAAAACAAACTTTTGTTGAGCTTATCTTTGAGTTTGTTTGTTGATGGTGTATTGAGCTTGTACATGAACATAAACGAACTGAGCTTACTGATGTTCAAATTCTGTTCTCTTGTTAATTGAGATACAATATTGTTCAAACTTGATTGCTAAGCTGCATAGATGAGATGAAAAGATTGTTCAAAGTTGTTTGTTAAGCTTCACAGATGACTATGAACAAGCTCCAATTGAGCTAGTTCATGAACTGTTCAATGAATACAGCATTTCGTTTTTAGGCCTAGCAGTATATAGAATAGCACAATCATTAGAAAAATAGCTTTATGTCATTTGAGCATGAAAAATAGTGAGTTTGCTATTTGAGCAGAATTTCTGATTAGGCTATCTGATAAGTCCTTTGGTAGACTAAGTTACATGGACTCGGTTATGACTGTCAAACATTGGTATGTATCTAAGCGACTGACTTGTCTTTTGTTGAAAGTTTTGGACTCATGTAGTCAGCAAAAATGGATGCAATACTAGGTTTCGTATACATGGACACATCTATTATATATATTCAAATATATAAAATAAGATTTCATTGTTTCATCAATTTAATTTATTTTTAACAGAGTATTAATTTTAAATAATTTTTCATAAAAAATAATTACATATTTTTCTATTATGTTTAAATTCAAACCCATTTATTTGTAATACTTTTACTAATGCTTTAGTAATTTCAGCCAAAATAAAAAATCACCTTTATGGGCTTAAGTCCCAAAACCCAGCCCATGCGAAAGCCCCATTTTTTTCTGCTCCTCCTTAGGTGCACTAGAATGTTTCTCTTATTCCTTCTACACACCTGCAGATTCTGGACAAGCTGTCACCAGCCACCTTTATCACTTCATTCGGCATGTTCATCCTTGTTTCTTTCTATTTTTTTACCCTCATTTTTCTACTTTTTTGTGTCATTGATTTCTTTCTTCTCTCTTTTTGTAATCTTCCGAATGTTCTTTCTCCTTTCTCTCTCCATACCCATGATGGTAGCATTGATTTCTCTCCTCTCCTTCGTCGTCTTTTTCTTTCATTTGCTACAACTAGACAGAGGGTGAAAGGAAGCATCCAAATGTTTAAACTTGTATTAGACACATATTTCGTACATGACATTGGTACGGTGAGCCATTTCGGTAAGTCCATGTATCAGAGTTGGTGGAAATAAGTGGATGTATTTTTAAGAATTCAAGATTTTGGCAGAGGTTACATGGGTGCATTCTCATGTAAAGTCTGGTAGACTACACCTAGCACAAGACTTTCAACTGTCACACTTGTTGTCAACATTCTCATGTCTATTGTTAGTTAGCATGTTAGTCTATGCGTTAAATGATGTGATTTATAGTTAGCAGATGGTTCATACAGATGGTGCTCACATTCAATGTTGTGATATATGCTTAATGAAATAACAGATTTAGGATCAGATTTCTTTGTGTTTATCATTTGGTTGATTTTGACTTGCATGATTCTCTCTAGATTTTTCCAACGCTAGACATTGTAAGGTATGCATAATGCAAATTTTGTTGCAAAATTTATAAAAGCTGCTTGCTCAAAAAAAAAATTTCTTTGGTTCTGAAATATTGTACTACTGCTCCAATTTTCATGGTTCCTATCATAGAACTCCATTTCTCTTTCTTTCTTGCTTTCCTTCTTTTCTTTATGGGTTATGTAGTTAGGATATCTTTTATCTGGTTTCCGTACTCATCTTGTGTTTTGTTTTCTTTTTTCTCCTTAAATTACTGCCTTACTTATCTAGACAAAAGTTTCAACACATGATGTTAAATTTGACTTTTACCATTTATAGGAAACAATGATCATCTGTTTATTATGCTTACTTTTCTTTGATTTCAGTCTTTCATTACTCAAGATTCTGGTGATAGGGATTTTCTGGTAAAAAACCTACAGCCATTTGATGTTCCCATTCTAAATTATGTAAGAGATGAATCTGGTAGGAAAGCACCCTTTGAAATTTCTAACCAGGTATTTCTCACCGATGGCCCAATTCAATATTTCATCCAAGCATATCCATCAACTTAATTTGTATGTGTTTTCTTGCTAATTGAGCAGATGCGTGAACTTGGCATCTACTCCCGGCTCGACCAAGTTTTTGATGCCCCCACTGCTGTAAAGGAGGTTTTGACATCACAGTTTGGTCTGGAGCATTCAGTATGCCTTAAACTTCCTTGGTCAACATATATGTCTATATATATATATATATATATATATATATTTCAGCTGAATTTGAAGATATAATTTCTGAAAGTATTTAGACTTTGATATCTGATCCTTTTTTCTTGCTTTCACTTGCTTCCATTAGCATATTGGGTCAGACAAAACTGATAAGAAGGCTGATGATGTTGCAAAAAAATTGGGAATTTTAGATTTTTGGACTCCACAAAACCACTATCATTGGTCTGTTTCTAGATATGGTGACAATGAAAAATCAGCACAAGTAGAACCTGTTCGTGATTCACGTCTTCTACTGTGTGGTATTTCCTTACTAACCCTTCTCTATATTGACCTTAAATCCTAACTTGGAATTTTCTGAGCTGCTTACTCTTCTTCCTTTTTTTTTTTCAAGGTTTGGATAGTGGGGAAATTGAAAAACTAAGGTCTAGAAAGAATGAACTTGAAAACTCTGTTGCCGATATGGAGGAAGGCATAAAATCACTTCAGATTCAGCAAAGATTGTTTGAAGATGAAGCCGCCAAACTTCAGAAACAGCGTGTATGCTAAAAGAATAAGAGTTTCCTTTTTTTTTTCTTTAATTTTAACTGAATGTTATATGCTGACATATGAACTTGTTTTTTGTTTTGCTTTATGTTGTTATTTTGTATGCATGACTTGGAATGACACTGAATCTTAAAGGTAGCATTGTCTTGTAGTGCTCATCTTCCTACATACATCTAATTCATACTCTCTGCAGGAGGAGATGGTTGAAACTGGAAGAAGGGAGATGAAAAAACGGAAAGAAATGGAAAGCTGTGTTGGTAAGTTCTGTAGTTTCATTGGTTGCTGTAGAGAGTTTCTTGTTCCTTCTCATCATTTATTTAAATAAATGTTCCTACAAATGTAACTGTAGAACAAAGGAAAAGAAAATTAGTATCTTTGGAGAAAGGTGGTGACTTGGAAACAGCTGTGGCTAAGCTCATTGACCAAGCTACGAGATCCAATGTTGAGAGGTTCAAACATGCAATTAAAATTAAGGTGAAGATGCTTTTCAAAGCTCATGTTTTGTGATGCTTGTTCCATGTCATTATTTTACTTTGCAGACAATAACTGGAACTTGTGTCAGAAAACAAGTTATTAATTGGCATGCATAGTAATGTAGTATTAGTGCATTTACTCATTTACTTGGTTCTTATATTCTTAGTTCTTTCATTGTTTTGTTTTAATAGGATTTGCTTGTTGAAGCTGTTTCCAGCAAATGGAGTTTTGCTGAAAAACACATGGTCTCCATTGAATATGATGCTAAGGTATTCTTTGGTGAAATATGCAAGAGTAACTTTCTTTCCTATTGGGTGGGTAATTCATGAACCTTTTACAAAGTTTATTTTCATCTGTGACAAAACTGTCATGTCCTTTTTAAAATGTGTCAAAATTATCTATCCATCAGTCATCAGAGCAAACTTGACAATCTGCCATGTCATCGCCATGGTTTGACCACATGGCATCCTTGTATGTACTTATAATTTTTTCTATTTATTTTTTCATTTTCTTTATCAATTTTAACTCCCTACTCTCTCACTGACCTCCCTCTCCGTCTCCTAGTCTCCTTCCTTGGCCCAGCCACCATTGTCTGGGAGCTAGCCAGCTTCTCATCTTTCCTTATTTTTCTTTCTTTTGTTTGGCCATTGTTTCTCTCTTCATCCCTCTCTCTCTCTCTCTCTCTCTCTCTTGATTGAATCTCTTTACCGGTTTATCTGTCTCATCATTGGATCTTGCTTACAACAGGCCAGGATCAGATGGCTCTATTCAGTACTTCCCCTCCCCAATGTTTCTTTCTTCCCTTTCTCTCTTTACAATTTCTATGTGTTTCTTATTCTCTGTTTGTCTCTAGTGCTGGGTTCAGTTGTCCAGTGCTCAGATTGGCATTGAATGGCTACATTCAGTACTTCCATTCACCATTGTTTCTCTCTTCCCATTCTCTCTCCTCCCTCCATCTCTTTCTTCCTATGTTTTTGTATTTTTAGTCAATAGAAGGCTGTCTGGATTTCTGCCTATTCTACTTTTGACATGTGGCATGTGGAGTTGATGTGGCAATTTTTGTCAATTCTCTAATGTCTGTTTCACATCAGCACTTCTACAAACTCATGAACAAAAATTTTGAACTTCCTTTTTTTATTTGTCATGGATGAGAATGAAACTTTTTTTAAGGTTCAATGAATGCAGGCATAAGTTATTAATTGAATAATTTGGTATTTCTGATTCATCAATCTCTGGTTTTTGCTGGCTTTGCAATGTTATAGATTAGAGACATGGAAGTCAATCTCAAGGAGCACGAGAAGTTTGCTCACCAGGCATCACTGAACTTGCAGTTCTGTGAGTTATTTGTTTATTTATTTATTTTTAGTTTTATAATCTAGACTCTTTAATTGTAATTTTTGTTTCATCTCTTCATAGAAGCTTGTCAAGGTGGATTGTGTTTTGGTTTGCCTTGTACATTTATTATACAGAACAGTCTTTTTTTCCAGGGTTTATAGGTTTCTAAAAATAGTTCCAGGTTCGTTTGTTGCTACAAATTTAATTTTCAGAACTGTCTTGCTTCTTATTTTTGGAAAAGGTTTATTTAAATGCATTTCTTTGCAGAGTTAAAGCTAATGTAAATGTTTAAGGGATGGGTTCTTTGGGTGGAGTATTTAATTTTTTTCAATTGATGGGATTTCAATGTGTCCCCCTCAAGTAGGAAAATGCTTAATTTGTTGTTCTTGTTATATGAATTTCAGTATATACAGTTTCTTTTCCCGAGTATAAGCATTTTTTATATTTTAAATCCTATGTACTTTCTAGTTTATATGATCCTGATGTGCATGTCGTTGACTGAAAATCTGAAACCTATGATTTACATATTTATTATACTAGGATATACAGGAATGATATATTCAAGAATTGCCTGGGATTTTTTATTTTATGCAATATTATTTTCCAAAAACTGACTTTTCCCAATTTTCTTGATTAGGTGAAAATGATGTAAAGGGTTATTCTCAACAACTCTCAGCTGCCAAGAGGCATGCTGAATCAATTGCCATCATTACTCCTGAACTTGAAAAGTTATTTCTTGAGGTTTGTTTTTGTTTTGAGTTGAAGTAGAACCATAAAAATATATTATTCCCTTTGAATTTGTTATGAGCACCTATTTTCCTGGCTTACAAATTTGGATGAGTGAGCTTCACTCATCTACTGTGTTAAATTCTTCACAAATTCACTATTGTGATTCCGGACATGAATGGACTGAATCCATATAAAAGCAACTGTGCTGGACAATTAAGCAGCAAGTTTGGCTCAATCCCAGGAGAATATATATATTTTTTGAAACTGATCCCAGGAGAATGTGGGCTAACTAGTAAACTATATGTGCATATGTAATTGGTCCTTAGCTAGCCTTTTGTGTGTATCAAGGTTGATTGACATGGATTGGGGTTGAAATTTGCAATCAACAAAATTGTTTTTGTTGTTCTGTCATTAGATTTGATGATGAGTTGGGTAATATGGATTTTACAGTTTTCTGGCTTTACCTTAAAATAGGATATAAATGATCAAGATTCTTCTTATGTGTTCCAAATGTAATGTTAATATGTGCCAAATGTTTGTTTCAAAAACCTTTTTCAGACTAGTTTGTATCATCAGTTCAAATTGAAGTCATTGTGCTTTTTGTTCTTTGGATCTTTTCATTTTATTAATTCTTCCATGTTTACCTAAAGATGCCAACTACAATTGAGGAATTGGAGGCTGCTATACAAGACAATATTTCTCAAGCCAATTCTATTGTTTTCCTGAACCGGAACATACTGCAGGAATATGAAGATCGTCAGCATCAGGTACTTTTGTATTATCTTCTTTTTTTTTTTGGTGTGTTACTAAAATCTCATCCATATTTGCATATGTGACAGATAGAAGCCATTTCTGCCAAACTAGATGCAGATAATAAGGAACTACAAAGGTGCTTAGCTGAGATAGATGCCCTGAAGGTGAGAGAAGTCTTATGGTTTTCTTGTTGTAAATATGACTTGTTGCATTATGAAAGTAGATAATATTACTGCTTCCTAGTTGTGGTAATGATTACTGTGATCATGTGAGGCTTGAAAAAGAGACATGCCTCATTTGGAATGTGTGTGTAAAAGTGACTTGATAGTTGGCTTTCTATGACATTTCTCACCTCCTCTTTCCAACTGTTTCCTCTCCTGCATGTGGTTTTCTATTTTGGTATAATGTCCCATTTTGTTTCTTATGGTATAGGAAAATGTATAAGGCACTTATCTAATGTGGTACCTATACCAAAAAAATGTTCAATGCAGTACTCAAAACTTTCATTCTGTCTATCAATGTGCCCTAACATCTAACACTATTCTTCTTCATTAGACTTTTCTCTTTCTGTTTGTTTTCTTCTTTCTTCTCTCTTATTCTAGTTTCAGCAAGAGAGATCCAGAGAGTTAAGGATTTGGGGGGATTTGAATTTCTTGTGTTTTGACTGTTTGACGATTTTTTTTGATAAGATCATTTGATAATTATATTTACTTTTTAACCTTTTTTCCCTTAAAAACTGAAAATTTTATTTATCATTGGGCATTTTTTTACTATGTTAAATGTTCATTATTGCGATGTGTTATTTTTTGTGTCTTATAAATGCCAGTGAGTCAAGGAGTTAAATGATATCCATGTCTACTGACAGATTCCACCCAAAAAGGGCTTGTATAGTGAAAAGGAACACTTTAATGGCTTATTTAAACGTGATAAAGGGATAAGAATTTATCATGATCTTTTGTAGTATAGGGGCTTTTTTTTTTAGGATTTTACCCTTAAAAATACTTATAATCTTCTATGACAAGGTATCTTGCTTCTTTGGATGAATAAAATTTATAGTCCTTCAAAATATAAAACTAAAGTTTTCTATATATTATCGGCAAAAAAAAAGTTTTCTAAATATTAGAACAGGATTTTACCAGTACCAGAAAAAGCATGATGTTACTTTTATTTTGAAAATTTATCTTTGTATGTAACATTTTAATTATCATTTGCATTTGCTTTTCAGCAACTCTTAATGAAGTGGAAGCAGATAGCAAAAAACAAGTAGCAAAAGGAGCCTTGTTCTTTTCCTTCTGCAAATATTCTCTTTCATTTGCTCATGAATTTGCCTGTTTTAAAGCTCTCTTGGTAATGATTAAGATTTGTTGGAAAGCATAAAAGAGAAATCCTGGAAACTTCAAGTTAATATTTTTTCCCCATGAATCCATTATCGACTTCGCTTTAGTAATCTAATCAAGCTTTGGAGGCTTATCATGCACCCTGCCTTGTGGGAAAAGGCTTGGTAGTGTTGTTTCTGTTGACTACTTATTCCTCTCTGAATTCTAAAACCATTTGGTGCCTGAACCACTGTTTCTGCTTAGTACTGATATTGGTTTCAAATTTGTTTAATACCTGGATCTTGTCACTGTACATGCAGGGAAATTGGCTTCCAACGTTGAGAAATCTTGTTAGTCAGATAAATGAAACTTTCAGTCGTAACTTCCAAGAGATGGCAGTTGCAGGAGAAGTTTCATTGGGTATATGTTATTACCTTTTAGAAAGTTAACTACATGCTGAGCTGTGGCTTCCTGTTCTGATTTATTGTTTTCTTTCAGATGAGCATGACATGGATTTTGATCAATTTGGAGTACTTGTAAAAGTGAAGTTCAGGTGGGTTTCTGAACTTGTTATGTATGTCACCAATATGACTGTGGAAACTGAATGTATATTGAAAAACTGCTTATTTTGAATTATACAAGAATCTTAGGTTTATATACAACTAACTAGGGGTTAAACTAGGAAACTAAATCTTCCTTAATTCTAGGGATACAAATACTTAATTCTAGAGATACAAATATAAATATATAGATTACAAGATTACAACCAGCTGTAAATAAGTGTTTTCCCACACTCCCCCTCAAGCTGGTGAATAGGTGTTTTCCATTCCCGGCTTGGAAATAATTTCTTTAAATGTTGCACTGCTGAGACCTTTAGTCAACACATCTGCAAGTTGATCCTTGGTTGATACATAAGGTGTACAAATCAACCCACTGTCTAGTTTCTCTTTTATGAAATGCCGGTCTACTTCAATGTGTTTTGTTTTGTCATGTTGCACAGGATTGTGTGCAATGCTTATTGCAGACTTGTTATCACAGTAGAGTCTCATTGGTCCATCCCACTTGATCTTCAAGTCTTCTAGGATAATCTTTAACCATAGTAGTTCACAAATTCCTTGAGCCATTGCTCTGAACTCTGCTTCAGCACTTGATCTTGCCACCACATTCTGTTTTTTACTCCTCCAACTCACAAGATTACCACCTAAGAAAGTGCAGTAGCCTGAGGTGGATCTTCTATCAGTTACTGAACCTGCATAATCAGCATCTGTATATGCTTCTAGAACTAACCCCGAATTTCTTTTGAATAAGATACCTCTCCCAGGATTGACTTTCAAAGAGTGCAATATACGGTAGACAGCCTGTAGGTGCACTTCTTTAGGACTATGCATAAATTGACTTACCACACTCACAGCATATGCTATATCAAGTCTAATATGTGAGAGATAAATGAGTCTTCCAACTAATCTTTGGTACATCTCTCTATTTACAGCAGCATCTTTATTAGCTTCTCCAATTTTATGATTAGGATCTATAGGGGTATTTGTAGGTTTATATGCAAGCTTCCCAGTTTCTTTCAGAAGATCCATCACATATTTTTGTTGTGAGATAAAAATACCATGCCGTGAGTGAGCTATTTCAATTCCTAGGAAGTACTTCAATCTCCCTAGCTCTTTTATCTCAAATTCTCTAGCCAAACACTGTTTTAGAGATTCTCTCTCTTTTTCATCATCTCCAGTTACAATTATATCATCAACATACACTAATAGAATTGTTACTCTCCTTGAATCAGAGTGCTTGATAAACAATGTGTGATCTCCTTGACTCTGTTTATATCCCATTGCTAGCATCACTTTGGCAAATCTCCCGAACCAAGCTCTAGGAGACTGTTTAAGGCCATATAAAGCCTTTTTAGCCTGCATACTTTGTTTGCTTCTAGATGACCTCCGAATCCCGGTGGAACCTTCATATATATCTCTTCTTCCAAATCACCATGTAAAAAAGCATTCTTTACATCAAATTGTTGAGGCTGCCAATTGTAATTTGCAGCCAATGATAACAAAATCCTAACTGTATTCATCTTGGCAACTGGAGCAAAGGTTTCCTGGTAATCCACTCCATAGGTTTGAGTGTAGCCCTTAACTACTAACCTGGCTTTATACCTTTCAACAGTACCATCTGCCTTGTATTTTACAATAAAAACCCATTTACACCCCACTGGATTTTTTCCTTTAGGCAACTCTACCAGTTTTCATGTCTGATTTTTCTCTAAGGCCTCCATTTCTATTTTCATGGCTTGCCTCCATTTCTCATTGGATAATGCCTCGGATAATGTAGTTGGAACAGAAATAGTGTTTAGGCTCACAAGAAAATTTTTGTGGGATGGTGAGAATTTTTCAAATGACACAAAATTAGATATTGGGTATAGTGGATGCTTGGTACATTCTCTGGTTTCTTTCCTAATGGCAATAGGCAAATCATAATCACTAGTTATAGTTTTAGGAGATTCATGCTCATTTTGAGAAACAGAGTCAAAAACTGTAGTTACCTTATTTTCAGAGTTAGGATCAGGTTCTTGGACTGGCATTGGTTCAGGATCTGAAACTTTCCTTCTTGAGTATACCTGTAATTCCTTCATAGAATCAAGAACAATATTATCCTTTGTCACATCTTCCGTATTTGGAATGGGTTCAGACGCAAATTCAGTGTTTGACTTGGGCTCAGCAGAAACAGGTTTCGACTCAGAAGAATTAATGGGTGTAAATGTTGAAGAAGGGGGCAAATCAAGCAAAAAGAAGTCTTTATCCTTATCTTCCATGAATGAAGTCTCCCCCTGAAGATAAGGTTGAGTAAAAAATGGTTTATTTTTTTCAAAAGTGACATCTGCAGACACATAAAAATTTTTTGGTAGGAGGATGATAGCACTTATATCCTTTTTGAGTTGAAGAATACCCCACAAAAATACACTTAATCGCTCTTGGATCCAACTTTCCTCTGTTATGACTGTGAACATGAGCAAATGATGTACAACCAAATATCCTAGGTGTGAGATTGTTTGTGGTATTGAGGTTGGGATAAGATTTTGAGAGTAGTTCCATAGGAGTTTTAAATCCCAAAACTCTTGAAGGTAACCTATTTATAATGTGTGTGGCAGTGAGAACAGCTTCCCCTCAATAAGATTTAGGTACATTTGCTTGAAAAAGAAAGGCTCGGGTTGTGGCTAGTAAATGGTTGTTTTTCCTCTCTGTCACTCCATTCTGTTGTGGAGTATTAACACAAGATGACTCATGGATAATCCCTCTTTTTGGAAATAGGTGGATAGACTCTGGTTGAAGTAGTCTCTTGTATTATCAGACCTAAATCTCTTGATTCTTACTCCAAATTGATTTTGGATCATGTTTTGGAAGCTTAAAAACACATTATTCACATCTGATTTGGATTTAAGTAAAAAAACCGAAGAGACCCTAGTACAATCATCTATGAATGAAACAAACCATCTCGCACCAAAATATTAGGAATTGTAGAGGGACTCCAAATGTCACTATGAATCAAGTAAAATGGAGTAGAACTTCTTTTGTTACTGATTGGAAAAGACACACGTCTATGTTTTGCAAATTCGCAAATATCACAATGAAAATCTTCAACATTTAATTCTTTGAACAAAGAAGGAAACATGTTTCTCAATGTTTCAAAAGAAGGATGTCCAAGACGAAAATGATAAAGCCGGATTTTGTCTTTATTGGAAGATTTTTCAGAAAGAAATGACAAAGGTAAACTATTTTTGATACTACTTGTGTTATTTGATGTCTCAAGATAGTATAGTCCATCATTCTCTTTAGCAAGTCCAATAATCTTCCCCGAACTCTGGTCCTGAAATTCACAATAAGAGGGATAAAAAGTTACATTGCAATTCATATCTCTGGTAAGTTTTTGTATAGATATCAGATTAGTAGACAATCCAGGAACATGAACATTTTTGAGAACAAACGAGGGATTAACTTGAACATCTCCTAATTCTGCCACTGTGGTAAGTGAACCATCAGCAACAACAATTTTCTTATTACTAGGACACAAGTTATATGTACTACACTTTTGTGGGGAATGTGTCATGTGGTCTGTGGGTCCTGAGTCAATGACCCAAGAACTCGTAATAGGCTTAGCCGAGACATTTAATCCATGAGAATCAGAAGCTTTACCTGAACTAGAAACTTTACCCAATGAACATACCATAGTAGGCTTTTCAAGGATTTTCAATAAGTTTCTCAACTTTTCAATCTCTTCCCTGTTGAACTCTCCTTGTTTCTGAGACATCTGTAGTACTCCAGTGATTTTTTCAGTTAACATTTCCTCAAATTGGGTGATAGTGATATCTTTCTTTGAAAGGATTCGACAATGAAGGCCTAAACAGGATTCGACAATGAAGGCCTAAAAAAGTCAGCAATGAAGGCTGAAAACTTTGCTTCCCAAGAAGAGCCTAAAGCTCTGATACCATGTGGAAACTGAATGTATATTGAAAAACTGCTTATTTTGAATTATACAAGAATCTTAGGTTTATATGCAACTAACTAGGGGTTAAACTAGGAAACTAAATTTTCCTTAATTCTAGGGATACAAATACTTAATTCTAGAGATACAAATATAAATATACAGATTACAAGATTACAACCAGCTGTAAATAAGTGTTCTCCTACAATGACAATATCATTTGGTATGGGATCAGGTTTTCACTTTATTTAAAATAAAATATGAGATTTGGCTGTTTTCAGTTTTGGAGTGACGTCTGAGATGTGTCTGCTATGTGGGACCAATTAAAATTTACAATTCAAATAAAATACTTTTGTATAGAAAAGCTTTGTTTAATGGGAGATCTTTGCAGTATTGACAGATTGTATGCAATCCATAAATAGCACTAAATTAATGGATGACATCATTTGCTATTTGTGTGCTTTTAGCTTCTTGATGTCTGGTTATAAAATAGCTGAATGAAATATGTCTTGAAGGTTAATGTTTTGAACATTTAAGGCCCTAATGCAACTTGAAGAGATTTAGTGTTTTGAATGTTAAACGTTGTCATTTTTGCTGCTTGGGAATCTATTCTCCAACACATATTTCTCATTGAGGTCACTATTGCTTAAAAATCTGAGATGCTTTCCTGACTGGTAGAGATGAGGCTGACTGGATAATTCCCAATCTATGTCTCTCATTGTTAATCAAATAAATACAACTCTAGTGCGATTTAGTTGTATTAGACATATTAGATAAAAAGGACATTTTCAGTTGAAATTGTGATTGCAGTATTATATTTATATACTGCAAACAGAATGAAAACGGAATGACTCTAGCATTATCCTTGCTCATCCATAAAATATTAGAGTTAAACTGTGCCCTTTTATAGAGTATAAATTTGTCAAACATGAATTTTTTTAGACTGGTTCTGTATATTTCCCTTATCTAAATAATTTGTAAGGTGAGAGAAGTTTGCTTCTGTTTTATTTATTTGTCTAGGTGTAGTGTAAGTTATATGTCCTGAGTGTCATTTCACTACTTTTTGTTATATAATATATGATGATTCCTAGACTATGTTTGCTTTTTCACCATGTTGAATTTCATATGCAATTTATGTCTCTGAATGATTAATGCTTGTTCTTGATTTTTTTTTGTGTTGTCCATCAGGCAAGCTGGTCAACTTCAAGTTCTCAGTGCTCACCATCAATCGGGAGGGGTACTCAAATTCAAATTCTTTTAATTCATGAATGCGATTTGGAAAAGCTTTTTTTTTTTTTTTTTTTTTTCTGCATTTTTAAATTTCCTCTTTGTAGGAACGTTCAGTTTCAACTATTCTTTATCTTGTTTCTCTTCAAGATCTCACTAATTGCCCCTTTAGGGTGGTTGATGAGATTAACCAAGGTAAGCATGAATCGACTTATACAATTGCATGTTACAGATATGTACTGCATGAAAATCCTTATGGTTGATTTTTCTTCTTTCTTCTTCTTCCCTTCTCCCAGGAATGGACCCCATAAATGAAAGAAAGATGTTTCAGCAATTAGTAAGAGCTGCCACCCAACCAAACACCCCACAGTAAGAACTAACATTAGCAGGAAATGTTATTTCTTTTCTGTTTGTAACTCCCTAGTTTGTTGACATGATTTGGCTAGTGGTTAAACAGCTCATGTTATAAATGCAGTTGTAACTGAATTTTTCTACTATCAATGTACTCATGAGGCTGATCGGCATAGGTAACAAAGAAATGGATTAGGCTAAGAATCAGATGTTTAAAACTGATGAAATTGTGAGTGTTAACTTGATTCTCCTATCTAAAATTTTTTCCTAAAAGTTGGCCTTAATCTCAACTGAAAAGAGGACTGATGTAGAGGATCAAACCAACTAGTTTGGCTTAATGCTTTATTGAGTTGAGGATGATAAAAAATAGGTTCATATATTTGTAAAGTCAAGCTTCTACCAATTATCTTACTCTTTTTGGGTAGAATGGTAAACTTCTCCTTTGTTAGGTAGATCACAAAATGTTAACTGGTTCGAAGGAATATGTTCTAGTTGTTGTGTTGTTGTTAGTTCCAAATATATGAATTATCTGATGTTTTTACAGTTTGGTAGAAGCTGAGTTTTTGTTTTCAATTTAGGTTGTTTAAGAAATATATATTATCTAGTGGTATGAATTGTTTTTTTTTTCTAAAACAATGTGGCAGGTGTTTCCTACTTACACCAAAGTTGCTACCAAATCTGGAATACAGCGAGGCATGTAGCATTCTGAATATAATGAATGGTCCTTGGATTGAGACACCCTCTAAAGGTGAAACACCACACCAGGCATTGCCTGCTTTCAAATAATATCAGAACACTTTTAACTTATGCATGTCTTTATGTGTTGTTTTATTCAGTTTGGAGCAGTGGAGAATGCTGGGCCACCATTGCAGGGTTAGTGAAACAAAATCGATGCTGAAATATCATCCCTGCTGAGGATGCCAATGTAGAATATTAATCCCAAAATAGGATAGAACAGGGGAGAGGAAAGCAGATTGCAATCCATTCTTTAGAATATGCAGCAAAAAAAAAAAAATGAAGCTTTTTGGGAAAACATTTCTGCTTCATTTTTACTGTCTGTAATGTATATGTTTTTGCTTCATGTAAAGTTGGCTTCTGTACGCTCCAAAGTCGTCATAGTAATTAGTAATGAACAATCCGTGTGTTTGTGTTGGACCAAACACAAAGGTTGCAGCTCTTTACTTCTGTGTTTCTCATTAGTCATTGCTGATCTCAATCACTTCTCCACCCCTCCCATTCAGATATTGGTTATTTTTTTTTATTGTTTGATGCGCATATTGAGAGTTTAAAAATCAAATTTCAGCATATTCAATCATTTCTTTCTTCCCAAAGAATACGCAATGCTATTTGACATTCTCCTTGCATCAGTGCATTCTTTCCCTTGCGTCATTAATGAAAAAATGGTTTGCAAGCAAGAGTGATCTTTCAAAAGTTGAACGTTTATTATTTAGACAAAAGTTCGTTGAACTCATTAAACTTGGTAAGTAGGCTGGTTGTCTCACGGTACGCAGTTCTCTTGTTGATGTCGGTAATATATGTAAAGGAGAAAAGATGCGTTGCAGGTAGAGGAAAAAATCATGAAAATATTATCAACCTCTACCCGGACTTTTTATATTATATAGTTCATTGTTGAGGTGTGAATGCTAGGGACGGTCATTTTTACACTCCCGTTACAACACTCGAGCAACCTAGATGCGCACGTCATCCTATAAATTAAGACTCAAACCTGTCACCTGAGCTTCCGGTAAATTTCTCTTTTGTTTGCTGCGAGTGAATACGTTACAGAGTGGGTTTAGTTTGAGAAAATTTATAAATTTTTTTTTCAGAATTTTGATGGTGGATATTTGATTCTTAGTTTGACTCAAGATAATTTGATTATAAGAAAAAATGTCAGATTTTCAATAATGTCTAAAGTCCCAGAATAAAAAATTAACTTCTTCTTGGGATATTCTGAGATTTTTGAAAGAAAGTTATCTTATTTTCATATTTGATTTGAATAAAAAATTATAAAATAGGTGTTACTTTTTTAAAAAACACGTTTGGAAGTAATTGAAACTCAGTTGTAGGTTTCTGTACAAATTTTTTTTTACATTGCAATTAAAGCATCTAGCATGAAGAAACTCTTTAATTGTGGATCATTAAGGTGTTGGGATTGAATAAATGCCATAATTGATGATCATTTAAGATGTTTTTGTATATAAATACCCTAAATGATCATCAATTATGGCATTTGGTTCTTAAAATGCCTTAAATAACCTTTGGCGTCAATTAAAGCATTTTCTTCATTAATATGCTTTAATTATTAATTTAAAATAAATCTTTTTTTTTTCTCATAGACGTTGTTATAATTATTTTTAGTCATAGTATAAACAAACAATTAAGGTGTTTGTATGGAAAAACACCTTAATTGGTTATCAATTGAGGCGTTTCTTCCTACAACCGCCTTAATTGCCACATTTAAAATTTTTTTCCTCTTGAAGATCGTGTTATGATAATATGAATATTTTAACGTCTAATTGTAAAGCAGAAGAGCCTATAATTTATATAGTAAATAAGGCATTTGTATATATGCAATTCCATATTGATGTCTTCATCATGTTTTAATAATCAATACGTTTCTAATTTATATGTCAACATATCTCAGCTCATAGCATTTACTTATCTTTTTGAACAATTTTAGTTTTAACATCTATCATTTAATTTTCGTCATGTTCATTTTTTACACAAAACGGTGCGTATAGTTTCTGATTGATATTTTATAATTGATGTTGCCTTCCAATGTTTTTATTTTTCATTTTTTAGATGTCATTTAGATTTGGATTTATATTTATGATATAAACACCTTGTTTTGTGGTTAATTTGTTTTAACTCCTTCCAATCTTCTAATGTTTTGTTTTTTATTTATATTTTATTTGATTATGTTTGATAAATTTCATCTACCAATGCCAAAATTTACTTTCCATTTATGTTGTCAACTTTAACGATATTTTATCTTTTAAACATTTAAGGCTAGTTTATCACTAAAAAAGAAGATTCAATTGGTTACATTGCTTTTGATGCATTTAAACCATATAGAGACTTTATTGTATGTGTTATGTTTTGTTGCTATAACTTTGTAATATATGCATGTTAAAAAATGATGTGGACTATCTTATGATGGAACATCTTATGATAGGTTACATATTAGAGAGTTAAACTTAAATAAAGTGATCTTTGAGAGCGATGACGGTGTATAAATAATACTAGAATGGATAGGAGAGCTTTTACAAAATTATATCATTTGCTTAAAACAAAAGAGGCTTATAGTCATCTAGACATATGTCAATAGAAGAACTAGTAATTATCTTCCTCTATATCATTGTCCATCATGCAAAAAATAAGGTTATGAAGCGTCAAGTGGTTAGATATGAAGATATGACTAGTAAACAATTCCATTTTGTGTTGAATTCTGTTTTAAGATTGTATACACTATTATTTAAAAAATCTAAATCGATACTAAAAAATTTAATAAATAATAGATGAAAATGGTTCAAGGGCTGTTTGGGTGCCTTAGATGAGACATACATCAAAGTTAATGTAGACGCAGTTGATAGGTCTTAATACAAGACTACGAAAAATGAAATTGCTACCAATCTCTTTGGTGTTTATACCCCAAATATGTAATTTATATATGTTATACCGAGATGAAAATATTCTGCAATAGATGGTAGAGTGCTAAGGGATGTAATTATAAGCAGGAATGGGTTAAGGATCCCATAAGGTATTATTTTTATTATGTTCATGTAATGCTAATAACAAAATACCTTTTTTTCATATTTTTAATGTTGTTGAGTAGATAACAGGTAATTACTATTTGTGTGATGCTGGATACACAAATAGAGAAAGATTCTTGGCACCTTAGAGACATCAACGATACCATTTTAGTGATTAAAGAGGCATGACCCTAACCGATGACCTTGCAGGAATACTTCAATATGAAACACCCTTAAACAAGAAATTGTATTGAAAGATGTTTTGATATATTGAAAGCTAGATGGATAATTTTAAAAGAGAAGTCATTTTTTTCAATAAAGACACAGTGTGAAATCATTTTTGCTTGTTGCCTTCTCCATAATTTTATTAAGTCTGAGAAGGTTTTTAACCCTATTGAAGTTGATGTTGTCGAATGAAGTTTTAGCCAACCAAATGAATTTGAACATCAAGCTTTGATTACGTATGTTGAGCCATCTAATTCTTGACTCAATTTAGAGATAATCTGGCTAATGAGATGTTTACCCATTGGTTGCAATCTTGATGATAATAACATTATAGAAATGTTTTATATGTTATAATTTGTTTACCCAATGATTTTTATTGTATGTACCATATGGTTGAGTATAGAATTTGCTTTATATCAATGTTGAATATATGTTTACATTATATATTTTTATTCTTAAATGTCTAATGTATATTATAATTTGGAGTATACACTTTTTTGTTTTCTTTTCATGTGTATTCGTTTATTTTATTCTTTTGATTATTTTTCATTTACCATATTGATATTGTTTCATAATGTCTAACCATGTGATTAGGAATTGAACATGTCTTCATCGCGCGCCAATCCATCGCAATCTATTCAAGGCCTATCCAAAAAAGATTAGACAGTTTGAGTGTTGGTAACCATTCATGGACTCGATAGAATGATTCCTATTCATGGACTCGATAAAAGGATTCCTATTTGGTTCAATGCTTACATTTTTTGGTTAAAAATCCTAAATAAAAAGTGAATAATGAGACATTTTATGTCAGATATTTAAGTTATATTGAACAAATGCTAAAGCAACTTATTCCTACTTCATAATTTAAAGCCACCTCCCACATTGAATTCAGGGTTAAGCTGCTCAAGAGATTATCAAATAATTTGTGATACAAAAAATTCTAGTAGATTTGGGTGGAATGATAAAAAAAAAAATCACAGCTGAGAAAAAAGTTTTTGATGAATGGATTCCGATAAATTTTTTAAGATTATATTATGGTTTATCTAACTTTTTTACTTTTTTCTATGGGTTTTATTTTATTCATATTTGCTTAAACTTTTGCCAGTTACACCCACATGTTAAAGGGTTAAGGGACAAACTTTTGTCATTTTTTGATGATTTTAAAGTGATTTTTAGATCTGATAGAGTAACTAATCAAAGAGTCGAAATAATAGTTGACGCAGTTGAATCATTGAATGCTAATAAGGATGCTTACTTCTTTTGAGAGTTTGATATCCATGCCGAAGGCAATGCGGAGAAAAGAGACAATGAAGAAAAATTGGTTTTACCACTCTGAGCAATGCTACAAATCTGTTGTCAAGCAAAAAGCATTCTAGGAGTGAAGATGGACTAATTGTTGATTTGGTTAATCAAATTGCTAAAATTGGTGCTTTATAAAATACGATGATTGAGGGCATTTCAACTTACTTTCAGACAGAAGTTGAGAATACATATAGAAGAAAATCATTTTTCAATGAAATAATGTAACTCAACGAATTCACACATGACGAAATTATCACTGTTGGTGCGTATATGTTGAAAGAAAATCACAAAGTTCAATTTTTCTTTATTTTGTTGGCTGTATTTAGAAGTAATAACATTAGGAAATAGTTAAATGAATGTAATGCATATCACCTATCGTTTGACTTTGCTCTTTCTATACACATGTAGACTGCACTACATTTTGTTAATAGATTCACACTAGAATTTTGTAAACCTATTTATTTAATTAAGGCAGGAATGGGAAGGTTGTAAATAAGCAAAATGTGTGGCATGTTATGCATGAGTTTATTTATAACAAATATCGTACTTGTGTGAATCAAATACATATTTGTGATACTATGAATTTCATATTTGTATTTAGAAAACAAACATTGTAATATTTCAATATGACCCCACAATTTGGATTTATAATTGATAACATTGGCGTATAAAAATATGAATGTTTGGTGGTCAACGTTGTATGTGTCTTCATATAATGCAAATAATATAAAACAAATATATACCAATAAAAATAAACCAATAAACCAATTAAAAATAACACATATCCAATCATACTACCTTTACAAAAAAAGTAGATTAATGTAATGCACATATTTACAACCAATCAATATTCTCTACATCAAGGTTTAGTGAATGATAATACATAATTAGACCAGTCTTTG